TAATTAAATATTTTTTAAGAATAAAATTACTTTTATTAAAAATTAAATAACCAGATTAAAAGTAAATATTCGTTTCTCTTAAGATTAAAATTAATTTATTTAAGAAAATGTATAAGAATTTTCTAGTGATAATCACTATAAATATCATTCATTTTTTCTACCACATCTCTATAGTACTTTTTTTAGTTATAATTTGGATAGAGTATAGTAAAATTTTTGAAAGGAATGTATCGTGTTGGCATGTTTAAAAATATGTATAATTTATCATGAAGTAAGTATATAAGCCTGGCACATGATATGGGTTATTAGTATAAATAGTTGGTAGTGTATCATAATTAGAGAGACAAATAAAAGTGAGGCCTTTAATTTTTTTGGTTGTGTTGGGCATGAATGATGGCGTCAAGTTCAAAGCATTTTAATTGAAACAAGTGGCCACAAAAGGGCTACAAATTTGGCTTATTTCTCGTGTGCTTTAAGTACCTTTATGTCACATGCCCTTTCCCTTTTCCATTAATTAATCAATTAATTTTTTAATAAATAAAATCTTGTTTATTTCATTCATTAATTACTCTTTCTTTACTTCTAAGCAGGACATCTAAAAATGTTGTAAAAATCCAGCATGTCAAACTACCATAATTGGGTGCATGGAACTAGTTCATTTAATGACTGTAGAGTTTAGATCCAGTGTCTTAGATATTGTACATAAGAAAATTTTCTTTTAGAAATAACTTGTTCATTATTTATAAGATACGCTAATAATTTGTTTGAAATTTTTTAGCGTCATTTTTATTTTTTACCCCGATTAATTATTATTTAGTCTCATTGCATCAATTATCCACCTTTATTGCACTCTCTCTATAAGTAATGATATTTTGAGAAAATAAATTGCATTTTTCACATGTTTATTATCTTCAACTAATTTTGACTTAACTTTTTGTCTAATAAAAAAATTGAGGAGGAAACCCTCTACCTAATAATTTAGTAGTGTGAATGACCTAAATTACAGTATTGATACTCTATAAAATTTGTAAAGTACTTGTACTTTTTGAGTTTCTCTATAAATATTTATCACGTCCTCTCGCGTATAAAAATTTTAAAAGAGAATTATAATCAAATTCAAAGAAAAAAATAATTACTAAAAAGTTTTAATAATAATTTAAGCAGCCTGCAATAACAAGTTTTAGAATAAAGAATAACTATCTCTAATACTTGTTTTATAATTTTTTTTCCTTCTTAAAACCTCATTGTAATTTTTCCAATTTTTAATATTGGATTTTTCCTCTCCCCAGTATTCCTCTAAAATGGGGGAATATCATTTAGAAGTGAGACGCATACAAAAATTGGCAAAGTTTTCATTTTTCTTTTTTCCTACCTGGGTAAAGTTTTCATTTTTCTTAACGTAAGATTGCTTGGACGGCGAAAATTATGTTACTACCTTACTAATATGCTACCTCACATCCTTATTATAAAAAAAACTAGTTAACTAATTTAAGTAGGTTAAAAAAATTAGTTAAATTAGTTATTTATAATAAATATATGTTATCTTTCTTAAAATACTATTGTTAATAATATTTATTAGCTAGGACTACTATTTGATGAAACTTTTAACATAAACAATTATTACAAGAATTACTTGAAAAAAATTGATAAATATAAGAGACAAAATAAATTAGGGGCTTTACATTTAGAACCAAATTTAAAGTCAAACTAGCTCTTATATTAAAAACCGAAGGTAGTAAGAACTACCTAATTACATAAATTAAGAAAATTAACCGAGTTAGGTATTTCTAACAAATATGAGTTAGTTTTTTTAAAGCATCCTTTTTAATTGTGACTATCTTTGAATGAAAACCCCTCCATATATGTAATCAAGAGAATGAATTATAAATTTAGAAGAGAAAGTAGATTAAGATCTTATATTTAGGACTAAATTCAAATATCAACTAGCTCTTATATTTTATCATGCGTATTTTTCGTTTTCTTTCTTAGCGATCCAAAGTCCAAACTAATTCAACAACTCTTCAAAAAGGTCTTCACTTCAGAAGATATATTTCAAATTAGTCCCTTGTTTTCCTGCCAACATCCAAACATAATCATGAGATAAAAACATCTTGACTTATTTGCATATAACTATTCACATTCACGAAGAATGATGTATTTGTATAAAAGTAAACATTAACATAATTTAACAAATGAATTATATATACTTCATAATTTGTAAATAATGGATCTTATTATAGATTTTATATTATATATAAATAAAGAAATTTTATATTTTATTATTATATTGATGGTATCACTTAATATATTTGTATCTTGAGTAAGATAAGATATAAAATAATATATTTTTCTTAATTGCAAAGACTATCAAAGATTTAAGTAAAAACTATAGAAAAACTATCATCTCAGTTTTGGGTTTTGATTCGCTCATGTAGTTATTTAAAGTCTTGCCAGCGTTTAGAAACTAGTTGAATAGTTATGACTAATTGAAACTACCTACACTTCGAATCTATGGACAATTCTTCTGGTTGAGCTTCTCTAGGTATCACCAATATGCTAATGATGTGCTATCGGGAGAATTAGAGGTGCCAAACAGACACATGCTTGCATAGCCGTGCACACAGATCAAGTTTATGCCTCCCGATCAACAAACTATAACTTAACGGGTAAATAAGATTTAGTATTCCTTTGGTCCTATTTATAAATTTTAAATTTGAAGAGAGTGTGATCTATTTTATAAATTTTAATTTGAGTTTGTCTTACATTTAATATATATATATATATATTAGTTTTGCCTTCTCTCATTTGCTATACTATTTCTCATCACATTTGCTCATATGTTTTCTTTCATCTTTTTTCTCATTAATTATCAGGACATATTTGAAAATAAAATTATATTTTTAATTTATTTATTGCTTTTAACTAATTTTAACATATTGTTCTTGTTATCAAATTAGTTATTTGAAACTTTCACAAGGAGAAAATGGAGTATTTGTTAAGTCAATTCACATCTTAACTTAACAATTGTTTGGATTAGCTTTTTGAAAATGATTTTTAGATATATATGATGTATGCATGTAAGAAATTTTTATTTCAATTTATATAAAAATATTTTTTAAAAATGCTTTTGCTGCTTACCAAACTTCGCCTTAACCTATGCACATCCTTGGATGTCGTGTGTTAAAGATCATTTATAAATGATATAGAATTAAGTAAGTTATTTGTGTAAAACTTTAAAATAGATGCTTGGCTCGACTAGCACTAAGTAGCTCCTTAAGTTTTGATTTAATCAAGATGTTGTGAGTTTGACTATTAGTGAATATAATGGTTGTGTGGATTCCTTTCGAAGAATCACAAAAAAATCTTTTAACCCTTTTTTATGGCTCACTGTTTATTTGAGAAATTATTTACTATAGTGCATTTTGAGAATTTATCCTCTCTACTTTTTACGACACGTTTTGATGACCTATTCTTTTTTGTTTTTTTAATCCACACAACATTCAGCTACGTACCATTTAGTGAGTACGCATGATCACTTTAACATTCTTTGCGGCATTTTAATAGACTTTAACATTGTTACATCTTCATGACTACTATTTTTATACGTATTAAATTTCAAGAATTAAAATCAAGGGTTTGAGATTTAAAAAATCAAAATCAAAATGAGTTTAAATTTCAAGAACCAAAAGTTATATTAACTCATTTTATTTTTGTGTTCCAGTATTTTATTTTCCTTCTTTTTTCTTATTGTGTATTTTGTGTGATTTATAAGTAGCTTTTCAATTTTGATTTATGAAATATGAAATAATTATGTAAGAAAAATTTTATATTGACTTACCTAAAATGTTCTTATGAGTATTTTCTTTTTGGATACAACTTATGAGTAATTTCAATAGCATGCTGAATAGGGCCTTGGTTGGAACTTGGCACCTCGCTTAGTTTTTTCCTTTGCTCTATTTACACATATTAAAAAAAAAAATTGGTACAGGCCATTATAGAGTCAGTAATGTGGGCCAATCTGTCAGTTATGGATTGACTCGTGATGGGTTCAAAGACTGATGGGCCGGTCCTAAAAGAACCGACTTCTGGTAGGTTGATATTTTACCAACCTAGCTCGTCAAGGTGGGTTGGTGGGTTAGGCCTGCCAACCCGCCACTTTTTTTTAAAATTTTTTTGTGCCTTTTATTATTTTTAGTAAAATCTATTCCATCTTTTAATAAAATCTATTCCAATTCTTAAACACCTAAAATAAAAATAAAAACAAAAAGTATCACAAATAAAACATAAAATTCAAAGTTCTAAATGTTCCAAAATATTAAGCATACATGATACATCATCTTAAATGATTAAACATGCATCCCAAATTGAAACATAACAAATTTAAATAAACAATAATATAGATACAATGTTACAAATCACTATTAAGTGCTTAACCATGAGCCACCATTCAATATTGATATAGTTCGAAGAATGATATGAAGATGTGAAATTATTTGGTTAAGCTTGATAAGTAGAATCACCTTCTTTTTGCTCAATTAACTTTATCACAAATAAAATTCATAATACAAAGTGAAAAATAGATTATATTATAGTAATTTTAAATAATGAAAATGAAATAAACAACTAAAGGAATAAATATAATTATATTTGAAGGAAGAGAAACATTTTAAAATAAAATAAAACCGGCTAGCTTACCAATCCTGCAGGTTAACCTGTTACGGGTTCGGTCTTAATCGTTCCGGACGCAAAAGATCCTTTCCAACTATCAGCCACAGCCCCCGCCCATATTACTAGCACTATTGGCCAATGTATCAAACGCGAAGGCAATAAAAGCATACCAAGTGCGATTATTGTTGACGGAAGAGGAAAGGAAAAACACAGGTATTGTTAAGTGGGGCCCATTCAACTTCGAGTCTACTACTTCCTCTCCTTCCATTAAGACACACAAACCTGCTATGCGTGTATTCATAAATTTTCCGCCATTACAGAGAAAGTAACAGTAACCAGTCGCTTCTGTATATCTCTCTCTCTCTTTCTGTATCTATAGTTGAATTTTGCCAGTCTCTGATACTTCTCGTGATTACCATTTCAACCTTTTCTTCCTTTCTCTTTCCTCCTCATTCACTCCCTCTTTCCCTTTCTACCCACACCACGCCCCAACTTTCTCTCTTCTCTTTCTCTTCAAACCCTAGGCATTCTTAATGATTCCCGCCGCTTGCTTCTGAAGGATTTTAACTTTTGGGTTTTTGGGGTTCTTGGGTTGGTTCTTCTCTCTGTTGTTGCCGTGTTCTCCGCCTTTGATTCATTGGGTTTCAGGTAATTTTCCTTTTTTTTTGTTAAACCTTTTCGGTTATCCCTTTGTTTAAACTTTACTTCCCCACTCCCTTGTGTGGTTTTTCTGTTGTGTTGATGATGTATTCGAATTGTGTTTTAATGTGTTATTTAGATTGGAAGTCTGGTGATAATTTTATTTTGTCCCTTTGATTCTCGAGCTTGCCGTGAAGCCTGATCCGTGAAGACTTGATATGATCGTCTCTTGTGTCCGATTTGTGAGCTTTGTTCTTTTAGTTTCGTGGTCTCACTGATTTTAGTGTGATTTTTTTTTTTTTAATTTCTTTCCTCTTTGGTTTCCCTCCTTTCGAATTGGCTTAACCGAGTGCTAATTTTTGAATAATTCTACCAAATGACGATTCGCATTAGAGGCCAATCTTCCTTAGTGTTCTCGCGCACTTGGAGGGTACGAGTCACTCCATGACTGAGAAAATAACTATAATCTCTTCCAACGTCCACCATAGCGTCATCAAATCTGCACAAATAATTCACCTTCCTGCGTAGAACACCTAGAATAGCCTTCATGGAGGATTTGATTCTGCATCCGCAGCCGAATTGTTAGTGGCCTCAGATGGTCGGTAAGCCTTCTCCGGAGAAACAGAAGCAGGGAACGGAAGAGGGGATTGAGATCCTCTCACACTTTTTGGGGTAGAAAAACTCATCTGATGTGGGGCCTACATTCAAACAAAATGATGGATCCATTGATTTAATAGTGAGCCTCACATGTTATATCTCTCCCTCATACAACCTGTTTGGGATATTTGAAGGAAATGAAATTTTCTTGCCATATTTTTTCATTCTGTGTACCAAACAGCCCTTTAAATTGTATCATGTAAATTTTTCTAGAGCTACAGGAATCCCAACTTGAGTGGAGGGAAGTGGCAGGGATAAAAATATTGATAGGAAAGGGGACCCTGGAGATGAAGAAATATATTAAGTGAATGTAACAAAACAATAGGACTGTAACTTCAAATCAAAGGACAACAAAGAAATATAAGAGAACGAACAAATTTCTAGAAAATAGAAATGTCTCTTATGAACAACGGAGACTTTAATATGGATTTAGATACAATAATGTTTTTATTAGTGGATATCAACACTGTTTCCTATGGACAATTTTGTGTTGGACATGTTTCATGCGGTGTACAATGCAAGTCTATATTCTTTTCTTCCATATGACCCTGTAGCTAAAAGTATGGGTTTTTAAATGTGTGATTGTGTTGGGGCCCCCAAAAAGGTACCTGTGTACTGAAAATATTTCTATATTTGAATCAGATTTCTTGGTTAATCTAATCTGAAACACTGAAATTGTCAGGACTTGGATACTTCATTTGCTAATCAATTAGGGGGATTCTCATCAGCCCATTGATTCTGCAGAGAACTATGACCGGAGAGAAATACGGAGGCTTTGCTATGCAGTTCCCGGTTTCTGTGCTATGTTCTCTAGATGTCTCATCTTTAGATATGGGCTGACATATTAACTTTATAGGTTCTATTTATTTCTTCATCATATATGTCAAGTATGGATGCCTCTTCCAGTACATGTGAGATTGTGGAATCAAGAGAAGAGATTATTTCTGAGTTCAGAATGGATGAAAAAGCTGAGAGTAGTTGTGCCCACAGATCAAGGAAAAAGGGTTCTGTAGAGGATGATATTGATCGTCTCTTCCAAGCTATTGACTTCAAAAATTCAGCTAGAGGTTCTAGTACACCACGTTCTCAAAAGAGTGCTCTTAAAAGGCCAATAAAAGTTAGTTCATCTCAGGCATCAGGAATTGGGATTGCAGAGCCTGTAAGTTTAAAGCAGGCACTTAGAGGACTTTGCATATCTCAGGCATCAGAGATGGCTGCTTTGAAGCGACTGTCAAAGCCGTCCAGTTCGTCAAGAGCATCTGAGGCGGGAACTATTAAGAAACTGTATACAGCTGTGGTAGATGAGGGGAAAGGGAACTTGGTGGAAATCTCCCTTGTGCCTGAGATTTCTGGACCTTCTGGTAAAATGCCTAGGGAAGATAAGTCTAGTTCTACTGCTGATCATTCTACTCATTTTGTTGATGTAACAAATCCAAAAACAGTCACAACCAGGGTAGCATCCCGGGATCAGATTGTTCCTCTTCAATCGGAAGGTGAAAGTGAGAAGTTAGTTGCAGTTGCCGGAAAACCAGTACTTCCAAATGCATCTACAGTTGATTATGAAAGTGAGGAAATGTCTGAGGTCAAGACTGTTTCTGCTTCCTCAAGCAAAGCTTCCCACTGTCCTACTATGCTAGATAAGGGCCAGGAAGTAGAGTTACATTCTGAAGCTAATCAGCCAAGCTCTAGTACGAGCAGTGGGGTGGAGAAATCCACAAGCAGTACTACTTGTTTGGCAAAGCCAATGTTCAGGAACATGAGCTTCCTTAGGAAAAAGGTAAAGCAAGAATTATGTTCTACCTCTAGTGGCTCCACACAATGTACCAGAAAAGTTGACAATGACTTGGATCCTAGTACGAGTAATTTGAACAAAGAGACCGATAAATATAATTCGAAGCAGGAAATGAAAGAAAATGATAAATTGTCTCCCAGCAGTTCAAATCATAGTGTTGAAGTAAATTCAAATAATGTGGGTGCAGATTCAATCAAAAGTGGTTTCAGTATGAATTGCAGTAAGAAAACTAAATTTCTAGTGACAAAAATTGATGAAAAATCAAGATCAAAAGAAAAGGGTGAATTTTCCCAAAGCTCAAAAAGCAGCATTGGTGAGTATAGTAGTAGCACAACGACAAGCATAAGTGAAGAGAGCAATCTGAGTGGCTCTAGTCGCAGTGGTCACAGGCCTCACATGTCAAAACACTTGAGATGGGAAGCTGTTCGTGCTGTTCAGCAGCAGCATGGGAACTTAAGTTTGAAACACTTCAAGCTGCTCAGGAGGCTTGGTTGTGGGGACATTGGAACTGTTTATCTTGCAGAACTAATTGGTACAAGCTGCCTTTTTGCCTTGAAAGTGATGGATAATGAGTTTTTGGCCAACCGGAAGAAAATTTTCAGGGCCCAGACTGAGAGAGAGATCCTGCAGATGCTGGATCATCCTTTTCTTCCAACACTCTATGCCTATATTACAACTGATAAGCTCTCTTGCTTGGTTATGGAGTATTGCCCAGGTGGAGATCTACATGTGCTGCGCCAGAGGCAACCATATAGGAGTTTCTCAGAACAAGCAACCAGGTAGGAGTTTTAAACCTTTCTTTTTCTCGGTCATTTGATTTTGTGATATTTCTTTTTGCTCTGAAATCCAATCTAGTCAACTTAACATTTTGTGCTCAATGCCATTATGCGGTCATAGCTTCTGGCTTGTGTGATGTAAGTGTTTTCTGGAAGAGTTTCTCTTTTTAATAGTTTTTGTCACTCTTTTTTTAACACAGTTTGGATATTTGATGATTCTACTACTGCATGATTTCTAATCCTTTTTTCCTTGATTTATGCTTGATGCTACTTATTTGAATCAAGGAAGAGAAGGTCTAATTTAGGTCTAATTTTATCAGAACTGAACTGCGGATGATGCTAAACGAAAACTATGCATGGGATCATGATTTAGTGTTAACGTGAATGATATAGCGAGAAATTAAGCCATACTCTCCTTTTTTGCCATGAAATTTAGTCATACTCTAGTTGCTTTGTTTGGAATGTCATGATTCACTCGCAGCTTGGCAAGGCGCAATCTTTTGCCTTCTCATTTAAGTATTTTTTGGACTAAAGTCATGCCAGATTTCTACAGGTTTTATGTTGCTGAAGTTCTTCTTGCCCTGGAGTATTTGCACATGCTAGGAGTCATATATCGAGACTTGAAGCCTGAAAATATCCTTGTTCGAGAAGATGGCCACATTATGCTGACGGATTTTGACTTATCACTTAGGTGTTCTGTGAATCCCACGTTAGTCAAGTCATCTTCGCCGGATGTGGAATCAACAAAGAAGATGTCCAGCCCTGTTCAGAGGCCAGCTGCATACACCCTTTCTGTCTACAACCTGATTG